ATATATATATATATATATGGTCTTCACAACCATTGCCTCCATGCTGTGAGCATAAGAGTTTGTTTAGTGAACTTGACTTATCATTTTACTGTGAGCAGATGCTTGGTCCTCAGATTGGAGGTCTCCACTTGCATAAAAATGTGTGATTTTGTGTCTGAGCTACACCTGAGACAGGGCTGCACAGTTTTGCGCGACCTATAGTCACGGACCAGTATTTGACCGAATTTGCTTGCCTGTATGTTTGCGTATTGTAATTGCCCTCATATACCAAGAGCTAGCATGTTTTTTGCAGTCTTCAGTGGACACCCTTGGCCCTTTTCATTGTCGACGGGGCCGTGAAGACTAGCCACAGACTCGAACAGACTCCAGCCCAGGCGAACGTGGACTCTGGCAGGTCGAAAGGCCCTCGACGTGACAGTTTCTGCTGCCATTTCGTCCAGACGGCAGGGCCTCGTGGACCGTTTGAATCGGAGACGGGTCGATACGAGGCCGGCCTCATCGAGTCTAGCCGCACTTACACACATACTAGCGTCTTCTACTGCGCCGCGCCGAGTGTCCTGTTCGACCTCGGCACCAACGAGGTCGTCAGACGAGCTGCGCCTGCCTTGATCGGTTCGTTGGCTCGACAACTGCGCCCAGACGGGCTGAGCCCCACTCGGCATTGTGGTCACGTCCCATCGGTCTAGGGCCAGTTTGTTCAGCCATTCGAGAACCCTATCGCAGTGCTGCCTTGTTTCGTATGCATAATATCGATCAGACATGTATGTGTCTACCTATGTTGGTGTGTGCGTGCACGAGTGTTGTGTAGCCTAATCTCCCTCACTAGCATCGATCTGTGGTCTGCATCTCGTTTATTTGTCAGCCTGGTCGGACGATCGTTATTGCGCTCCTTCCTCTGGCATGAATGTGCAACCCTACGCTCGTCTTCCTGCGCGCCTACGTGCACGCACTGTCTATCCGCGGCAGGGCCTATGATGCCTCTCGTCTTGATACCATATTCTGCTTGGCCTGCGCACACTTCACCGTCCACCAATCACAATTGAAGTTACCAGCTGTGCATGTTCACTTTCTGCCCGCGCCAGTAACTTAATTCGCATTTGACTAGTCCACCCGACCGGCTGACTCCAAGGCCTGCCAAATTCCGATCAATTGCCCCCGCCAGGTGTGCTGCGTCCGTATGCGCCTAATCCGGCTGGCAAGCCGGCTTGGCCTTAGGCCGGCCGTGGGCTGAGCACCCGTTGCCCAATGGCGCGTCAGATTCTCCAACTATTCCGGCTTCTCCAGTCTCGCTGGGATCCCATGCATGCGTCCTTGTCGGTGGCCGCCGAATCTGTTAGCCATCGGCGACTGACGGAGTGGTTTCAGAGACTAAATCTGCCGCAAGGTTTGAATCAGAGGAGGGGAAGATTAGAATGGAAAGTAGACGACTTAGGCCGAGCCCTCACGTAGAACATACAAAAAGGGTATTGGAAAGCAAGCGAAGGAGGAAAATTATAGATTTATCATTATTTAATTGTAAAGAGTCGCTTCATTTTGTGCAAACACCAGTTCGCCAAAAACCATGAGACGAATGCATTACTGCAAGTATGAAATTACTGGACATCGATTGCCCTACATTCAATCAAACGTTGTGTTTGGGCTCCTCGGAATTGAGATAATTGGCGAAATAGAAGAGGTAACAACTATTAAGTTCACTTTCATTTCTAGTTTAAGTGTTTTTTGTGAAGAGTATGAAATTAGGGTTTCGAGACTAACAGTAAATCAGTGTAATGAGATGTATTCATTCTATTTCGTGTAAGGTGATGAAGGACTGGTAGTTAAATTTTCCCACAATGATATGAGTTGAGCTGACGCTTCAATTGAATTTCACATAGCT